GGGGGGGGGGGGGGGGGGGGGGGGGGGGGGGGGGGGGGGGGGGGGGGCGGATTATTTAACATCACGTCGGGTAACAGTGTTTCTCTTGGACATCACTGAAGGCATTCTTTTACTCAGGAAACGTTTATCAGAACTATTGAAATTGTCTCTTCGCCAGACTGATATCGAAGCATTAACTTTCCCCGGTTCAACTAGATTGTACCGCGTTGATATAATTATATACATGTATCTTGAAGAACGTCTAATCTCATATTCCAAAACATGATCAAGCAGACTTCGTGCACTAACAGCTATTCAAACCTAATTAGGACAAATGATTTGGGATTGAACCGAGGGAAACGTTCATATTTAACGTTCATATTTAACTTGGTCTGAAGTAACTTATTCTTCATAATTCATTCTATTTTTGTACTCGGTCAGAAATGACTGGAAGAAAGAATTCCAACAGCACTTGCCTAAAGCTTACAGTCTTTTTATCCTGACTGCAGGTCATGGATAGGTTTGTTACGCGAGGCACCAGGAGAGCAGAAGCGATTAGGTTAAAAGAATTAATCTGATTAAGTCAGAAGTATATCAGGAATGACTGGAACATCTGTGTTGTCTTTATATTTTGGGGACAAACTAAAACTAGCCCAAAAGTTGTCTTCACGGTCTGAAGTCTGAAGTCTGAAGTCTAACTGCATGGTCTGAAGTCTGGTTTGAGTTCCCTCCCAGTCGGCTTTCGTTCAACATGACTTAAGACTTCGTTTGCATGAAATGCATGCTGTGGATGTGCTTGAGAGCAATGTGTGATTACCTTAAAATTTATAAACTGTTCGAAAAATGTCTGAATACCCTTGCGTCGCGGTTACTTACGTTTTTGGCAAAATTTACTCGTGAAAACCACTCTCCTTTCCACGACAACGACATTATTTTGGTGGATAATCCACTGGGCCCACGGTTCTTCCACCTTACATTGAGGTAAATGGCAAGAGACCATTTTCACCTGATGGTAGTCATAAAAGAGTTTCATTATCTCCCCTTCCCAACGAAATTTCAAAGAATTTAATTTACTTTGTCTTTGCTTCTCATCGGAGAGAAGCTTTCTATGTATATCTTTGACTGACTGTATATATGTTCAGAACGTATTCGAGTTTGCTGCATAATATGTACCTGCTTGCGATGCGCGTTTTCAATAAACTGATTACCTCTTCATAGAAAATTCCGATGATAAACCCTTGTCATCAGTTTATGTGTTTGGTTTAGACCGTTAAGACAAATTTAGAATGAGCTCTCTGGCCTTAAACCTTTTGACAGCTTTGATTATTATTTTTTTTTTTTTTTTTTTTTTTGTCAGGGTGGGGTGTTTTTTCTAACGGAAACAAGAACATGAAGTTGTTGGTCTATAGCCGGCTTATTCCACTTATTGTGGGCCTCAATTTAGCGCGAGAGGTGTGGTTATTGATTCAGTTATTTGATCAACTACACTTAAACGTGGCCGAAAGGTTAAAAGAAACCTAGGATGATCTAAAATTTGTTTAGTAAATGCATTCTGATTGACGAATCAAGCAGGTTCACATGCACGCTCAGTTCAACATGAAAACTAGGTAGCAAGAGACTGGATTATAATCCCCTTTAGGTAGTAACATAGAATGTGCTGTATCTAAATCCATATCCTTCACCGGCTCGCCAGGTCTACATGCTTTTTCCTAATAAATGAAAGAGAGAGAGAGAGCTCAGTTAATTATGGATTAATTAAGGATTTAGGGGTAATAATTCAACATCAGCACACATTAGCTATTTATCTTTCAACAGCACGAAATTGCATTGCCTCTTTTCTTAGGGAGATGTTTGAGGGGTCTTGAACGTCTGAGACCGTCAGACAATCCCCTCCGGCAATCATTACCACAAACAGGAAGTCAACTGTCCCTATCTTTTCAAGCTCAGCTCTGTTATATGACTTATAAGTCCTTCAAAAAAACCCTTGCGTGGTTATATTATATCTGCAGAGATTATAACAAAGAATTTACAGGTCACCCTGTTCACTTATCTTCGTATCATTAGTGTTTTTTTTTTTTTTTAACAATTGAACCTTTACAGAATTTACAGTTAGTTAAAGATAGTAGCCGTTTGCGTGTTGGCTACAAGCTACAGGGATGTTTAAGGGCATGACACTTCAGAAACTGAAAGATCAATCCTTTGATGAATGTAGTGTTATGGATTTACCTTTCATAATTTCTTGTGTAAATGTCAAATTTGGGCTCTTTAAGTCAATTAGTAGAAAACGAGAAGTAACGGCTTAGCTTCTAAAGAACTCAGTTTTGTAAATGCAATGGTAGTAGTGTATACTGAAAGTTTTTTTTTTTGGTTTGTCTGTTAATCGGCTGACGTCATTTTTAGCTTCAAATTAAACTGAACCATCAATCCGCAGCTGAACGGCGTCCTTTACACAAAACAAAGTAAGCGAACAAGCGTGCATTCAGAGATGAAACTTCATAAGCCCTCAATACAGACGACAGGATCCGTCATTCTTGAACAGATACAAAAAAATCAGATTAAAAAATTAAAATTAAAGAACTTGAATGAACGCCGGAAAATTTGTACTGATTAGTGATATGAAAAAAAATACATATATATGTTTTTCTGGCAGCAACTGATGTCATTTACATCCTAGTAAGACAGTGCACTGTATCTTTAGTACTGACTTAGAGAGTCTACGTGAATCCTTTTCGTTTTGTTTACAATTCTTAGCCCAGAGAAAGCACGCGATAATTTTTACTGGCTAAGCTGGCCCCATTTCAGGACGACCTATTTGAACTTGTCCTCGTTGATTTACCGGCTTTTCAGCAGCGACTGCACGTAGCTGGTAAGGAGAGAAACCTAAACGTATTATGTATCATATTTCACTGGTTGGAGGCGATGTCTAGAGATGGAGGTTGACTAAGGATAATTTTCATAGTGTCGTGGTCTAGGAAAGACGATATTATCCTTGCTTACTGTTCATTACGTTAGTGTCTCATTCAGTGAGGACTGAAGAATCAGTAAGGCAGCCGCTGGTTATTCCACACAAGCTGAGTAGAAGTATTGACACTTCAACAAAATGAGTGTCTTTTCCATTTCAGGTTACGCTAAGAGTGGACTTTCTCTTGAAGGATCATGCGTCCCTTTTAACTCAAACTACTAATCGTACACTAAAATATGACAAAAATCCAGGCAAGCTGGTTTCACCTTGATTTTTTTAGCTTAATCAAAGCTTAACAAGAGCGAAAAAACGGATTACGAGTACTGATATGTCTTAAGTTCAGTAATCACTTCCGAATTACACCGAGATACAAAGAAATGCGTACGAGCAAAGCACCTGTTACTGCACGAACCTTTTTATGTTAATTTGAGGGTTCTTACGCTGTCGCCGTAATCTTTGTGAGAACTATAGTCGGTTCCTAGGAGATCTTTCCCACCGGCCGGCCGTGCTGTCCTATTTTTGATGCATGCATATTTCACGATTCACGATAAGGTCAGCGTCTATATTAGTTGAAAGTGAGGCATCATAAACAGCCATAACTATACACAGTCAAAAGAACTATCTCCCAGGCCTACGGGAATGAAATTATTTATCCACCCCTGACGTCAGTGTGGGTGCTTAGTTTTTTTTTAGGGACCAAACTGACTGAGACCTTATTTTATCACTTTACCTCTTTTAAGTGCTTTAAGCCAATTTCGATAGATCAAATTTCCAGACTAAAGGGGAAAAAGGAAATAAAACACAAACTCAGTCATTTCTTTTAGTCTATTTTCCTAAGGCTCGGAGCCAAGTTATGACTGACTCTAAATACACCATTTCAGGTCTAAAATCATCCTTCTTTTCTATTAACCTGCATGTAATCAAAGTTTAATGTTTAAACGTTTTTTTTTTATTATTATTTCAGCTTAACAGTTTATTCTTTACAACTGAGTTTGAATAGGAGTTCTAACAAACGACAAGCGAGAACCTTTTCAACTCTGTATAAAATTCAGGGCTTCTTGTGGCTGTTGTGAAGGTCGTGATCAAGTAAACCGCACGAAACTGCCACTTGAAATCAGTAAAATGCGTACAATGGTAAATTTACAAATCTCTCTGTTATATTTTACAATATCTTCTATGCGCAAACAACACTTGGCACTCGCAAAGGTTGCTTAATCTAAAAACAACTTCCATGTTTTATATATTTGCGGTAACATACGGGATTCAGCAGCAGTATAAACAACAACTCTACTCCATTCCACCAACTCTAGCCATCTGACCGATTTCTTCTTTTAAACATTCAAGGAAATCTGTAGTGGAATGTTCGCCTCCAACATCGGCGGTTTTCTGAAGACAAAATAAACTAGTTAAAAAATTAAAATCAGTAACTTGAACATCCCTGCGTAACCCGCAGCGCAAGTCACTGTACTGAGGAAAGTCCCTGTTTAGGAAGGCAAGTAACTGAGGGCGGGGTGGAGCGAAGGCAAGATTTCATGAAGCGTCTCCTTACGGTAAGTTAAGCTTAGCAGAGAAAAACCTCAGAAAAAAGAAAACCACATTCGTTAACAAAAGCTGAGGAATCAACTTGAACAAGGCGCCCATACATGCCCAGGACTACAGCTGAATGTTGGCCCGATAGTTTAGGACTACTCCCGGGTGGACAGAGAAAGGCATGGGGGAGCATAGAGTCTCACCCGACAACACACCAGCAAGGACGAAGACTGTTCATAACTCAGAAAGAAGTATTCTTACCACTCCTTTTTCCACGACTCTTAAGATAGCACTGTGAATTAGGTCACCATAAGCATTCCATCTGAAACAGAACAAAATACAACAGATTATGGTAACTACAGACCATGCACAGAGCTTCTCGTGTCCTAGCATGATTCCAGGACGGTGCAAGGTGGCCTCATCTCTCTGCACCTCTCCTTTTCCTCGTGAGACAAAGAGGAGACTGAGACCAAGCGACCTCAAACCAAATCAGGCTTCAGAATATCGGATGATAGAACCAGAACAGATAATAGCGAGTATTTCTATCTCACGTACAAATGGCAGTACTGCGAATTCTGTTACTATTACATGTACTATTGTGTTATCAAGTTGGACTTCACAAGGTTACGGTCAGGTCAGGTTATCAGTTGCTGGGATATTAGCTCCTTATTTGAGATATTCATAAACATAAAGTTCAATGAACAGTACAATGGTTCCGCACGTACGTTATACATCTTGGTACATTCCTTAGCCGTCCTCAGCTATTCAAAACGATGGTGTGAAATGACCATATTCTGACTTTATACTAGTCTAATCTATGAACACGTTTTACTTAAAAGATCTGCTCTTCTCTCCTTACCCCAAATGTTCCAGCATGAGTGCGCTGGTAAACAGCAGGCTCACCTATGTAAGTCATTTAGACTCAAACGTAACAGTCTAATCTATTTTCTCTCCTTACCCCAAATGTTCTAGCATGAGTGTGCTGGCAAACAGCAGGCTCATAGGATTTGAAATGTTCTTTCCTTCGATGTCCCGACCTGTGTGACGCGAGCCCTCAATAACAAAAAGACAACAATATGGTATTGAGGCTGTTCAAATTAAACATATATGACCATGTACTTTCTTATAATGTGTGTTACACGTTTATATTCTCCAGTGCACCCACAAAAATGTTCCGACACTACAGAGAAACAAGTTTTCTTTTGACTCAAGTCCTTTTCGGTTTACACAGAATAATCCCGACTATGTTTTGACCAAGTGCAAAGCCTGGGCAACCCATAAGAGATAATTCAGCATTATTATATGGCTCTATCTCACAAGGACTGGAAACTACCAAATTCACCAATTTGATTGGCTGAAATCGATATTGAAAGTGCTCTACATTTTCCCATCTAGACTGGCATCTAGACCGGTAATGTTTTGCAGTGAAAAACTTGCCAACTAAAATGCAAAATCATTGACTACTTTCATCTAACAATAATTTATATTTATGTAGGATGAGCAAATTTTAGCAGAATTAAATTCAGCTCATTACCGTTCCCAAGCAAAATGCCTGGGGCAAAATGTCAGTCAGTACAAACCAGTTACATTAAACAAATGAAATTTGTTCTTCTTTGCGCCATATAATAAACATCTTATTAACCAAGCTTAGTTGGTCTGTATGGGAGAATCTCGACCTTGGTCGTGTGTACAGACTTCACCGTATTCGGTCTGTACTCACGACCTTGGTCAGGATCCTCCCATACAGACCTCCTGCTCGGTTAGTAAGAGCTAATTACAAACAATTTTTTTTTTTATCAAGTCCTCACCGATTCAAATGCCGCATAATCTCCACCATAGTTATTAGAGGAAATGGAAATGTGATGAACATCAAAGAAGTAGACAAACAGGCTAAGATTTATGCTGGAAGGCACTTAACCCTGCACATGTTTTGTTTAATGCTCATTGACTAAGCATGAATTACATACTTAGTTGTATAAGCACACAACCACCTTTGGTATATTGCCAGGTTTTGTGCAGGGTCAACTCCTAAAATAGCCAACAAAAACATACAACAAAGAACTTTGTCAGGTTTTATAACCATTCCCTCTATTAAATATGTCTCCACCTATGTTTTCACCAGGTACGGTGCCTGTCCACCCACAAGAGCATTAAATATAATATAATATGTAAACATCACAACATAAAGTCCTTACCGATTCAAACACAGCATAATCTCCACCTATGTTTTCACCAGGTACGATGCCTGGTCCGCCTACAAGAGATGCGCCAATGTTGCTGACTATATTGCCATACAAGTTTGGCATTACCATCACATCAAACTGCTGAGGGTTGGAAACAAGCTGCATACAACAGTTATCAATAATCATAGAGTTGTATTCAATGTCAGGGTAGTCCCTGGAGACCTCGCCACAACATCGCAAGAACAAGCCATCACCAAGTTTCCTTCAGTGAAAAACAAAAACAAAAACTCTGCGATTGACATCAACATTGTCATGTGTACATTATTTGAAACACAGTTTCAGTTACAGCGGTGCTTTATTGTGGAATTTATTACTTGAAAACATCAAAAAGATTAAATCAATTGCAAAATTCAAGACACAAATCAATCGCATATTTGAATCATCGGATTCTCACTTGGCAATCTTGTAAAACAGTACATGACAGTTTTTAATTAATGTAATATTGGTATTTAGATTTTATACATGTACTGTTGTACTTACTGAAGATTGATTGATTGATTGATTGACTGATTGATTGATTGATTAAAATCTAACGGACCATGGTATAAACTGTAAGCAACTACACTACCAAGTTGCAGATCTCTTATAGCACCTTGTCAGAGTTTACTCCCATTACATGTATGCTTAAACTGCATTATCAACATATTAAGTTATTGGATTACTACAGATGTCAGTTTTGGAAGCTCACATGATGTTGGCCTTGTGAACAGCTGTCACTTTCTTTCGGCCATGCTTCACAGCAAAGTCAAATGCATATTTTGCAATTTTGGTACATTTCTCCTCTGTCATGATCTTAAAACTTTCAATAACCCCATCAACATTCTACAAGATAACCAAACAAATAACAAAGATGAGAACCATATTAGGCACTTTAGTTGTTGTATATTGGGAAGGATAAGAGAGTTTACCAGTACACAGGCTGTGAGCTGACACTTCAGCTCTCTTGCAATACAGAAACACTTGCATGAGGTAGAATCTTGTGAATGTTACTGTCAAATTTTGGAAACCTTTAATAGGGCTTGTTTCAAGCACTTAAACCCCCCCCCCCCGGGGGGGGGAAGGACTCCCATATAAAAAGGACAGTGGTGCTCGTCATACCTTTTAGGGGTTAAAAATGCAGTTTTGGTAAATCTTAGGGTATTCAGCCTCAAAAGGTCCACAGCCGGAGCTTTTGCAGTACCTTTTAGGTATTGAGCCAAAAATATATCACAGAAGATT